TTCTCTTCAATCTTGAGACCAGGTGAGGGCAGCCTCTTCTAAAATTGCAATTATAGTACAACCGTAACTAAAAACCAAAAGAAAAAATGTACTTAAAATCAAACGAACAGGCAGAAGTTTCTAGGAAAAAAAACAACTCTATCTTCCTTTGGAATCATAGATTTTTGTAGCCAGTTAAGCCTTAGTTCTAACCCTTAGAGATCACCTTTGGCCAACCCCTTCATTTCACACACTCGAGAATCATCACACTAAAATGATTCATAATTTAGCAGATTTAGCCTCAAAATGCTAAGTGGAAATTTCTTTTAAAAAGTGTTTGTAAAGGCATGATAAACTTAAAAAAAATGCACAAGATTCATTAATTCATAATTGAGAGACCCTTGAAAATACTACAAAACTCTGCTAGTCAGTCACCAAAAAGTAGTGATACTTGTTAATTACATACGATTTCAATGTGATATTACTCTACATTTCGCATAATTAAAAGTACCTTTTTATTGTACTGAAGTACTTGCTCTAATATTAACCCCCTAACTTAGGTATTCTACCAATGCTAATGGGCTAACTTTAATGAAAATACTTTTTAGAAAGACATTTCTCAGAATCCAAACAAGTTCAAGAGGAATGGCGTTTAGCCAAAACAATGAAACTTAAATTTACTATCATTGTTATATTTAAATCAGAATTGTCATACCTATATCACAGGTCCATTACCTACTGATAAAAATAAACTTCCTTTTTGCATTTGAAACATAGCAGATAAGACTAAAGGTCGTTCTTGAAATCAGTTAAATTTAGTTTTCTAAAATCATATACTGTTATTTAAGTTACCTTGCTTGATGGAAAAGTTTCTTTTTCTTCCCCTAAAAAATCATTGAGGGAGGCAGATCTTGCCACTTTTTGGCGAACCTTGCTGAAGCCGTAGAGATTAAGCTGGCGGGTGAAACTCTTTATACAATCAGTTTCAAATATCCTAATAGGACTTTTCTTTTCCAAAATCTCTTTTTTTAACTGCTCCACATCGACTACTATGCAAGTTCCATCCTTGTTCCAACAAATTGACCTAAATCGGTCACTTTCAACTATTTTCCAAAGCTTTCTAGGAAAGGTGAGGGAGAAAAATTCATTTTCTTCCATTATCAGACTTTCATCGGAAAATGGAAAACATATTGTTTTTCCTAAAGGCCCTCTAGTCAAAGCCTGAAAAGCATTTTCTTCAACCAGAGCCCGCAGGTCAGCATCCATAAGTGGTACCTCACCTCTCTCCAGAGGTATGGAAGAAAAAGTAGAATCATTGCTGTACTCTGTATCAATGGGTCCACCTCGAGGAGAATTTTCTTGAGGCTCTGATTTACCAGAATCCATTTCTAATCTTTCAGTCTTCTATGTTTTTCTCAGTTATAAGCATCATATCTGCTCAGTCTTGATGCTTTTAAGCAAATAAGCAGGTTAAAATACAGTTTACAACAAACTTTAAAGTAAGCCTAGGACATCATAATGGTGGCCCCAGTTTCGTGGCTGTGACATCACAGGATGATTTTGGTTTCCTAGCAAGCAGTACAATAATGATTAGGCTAAATAAGTTACTGAGATGAGGACTCCTCACAGCCACCTGTCAGCTCTGAAAATTCCATTCAGAATGTTCTCATCAGTGTTTTGAAAAAAAAAAAAGTTTTTACATAACCATAATTTTATATAATTAATGGCTAGAGTTCTAATGGATAGTAACATTGTTCCATGTGGAACGTCCTCATCAGTACTGTGAAAAAAAGAAGTTTTTATATAAGCATAATTTCATATAATTAACGGATAGAGTTCTAATGGACAAGAGTTGTAATGGATAGTTAATATAGCTACTGAGCTCTCATCTCTAGAGTTGGCTCTATGTCAACCGCACTAGCACAGAAGGGAAGCTTACTTTTTACCCTTTGCCTTCTCACTGAGCTATACGTTTCAAGCATTTTATTTCCTAAAGCTAGTAGTCTTTATATTACTCAACAAAAAGAATTTCATGTTCAAAAAGACTCTACAAAATGACCCAAGATGTTATACAGGGCACAATTTTTTGGCATACACTTCTTTAAAAAGGAAAAAAAAATCACATACTCAATAAGCTTTGCAAATTGGCCGACTAACACCCACATGCCTAAAGGTCAGGCAAAAGTCATGGGAACATAGATGTACAGCTGGAAGGGAGCTTAGATGCCATCCTGTCCAACTGCCTCCCTTTATACATGAAGAAATTTGAGACCCAGAGACAGAGAGTGACTTGCCTAAGGTCACAAAGATAAGTGGAAGAGCTAGGATTTGGACGTAGGTCCCCTAAAGCCAAATTCAACACACTTTGCACTGTTACTTGCTTCATTCAATTACTTGGCTTGCTAAAAATTACACAGGATCGGTCCACTGGACCTAAACAAAATGAATCAATTCATTTTCAAAAGAAAACAAAAAGGCACCAAGGAGTAACAAAATAGGGTATTAGGTTCCCATGTTCAGTCCAAATGTATGGGAAAGTAGACTGCCCACATTCCCATGGGGAGTGATGTCAGAGAATTTTTCCCAACATTCAACAAAAATCCTTATTTCTGGGGCAGCTAGGTTGCGCAGTGGATAGAGCACCTGCCCTGAGGTCAGGAGGACCTGAGTTGAACTCCGGCCTCAGACCAAACACTTGACACTTACTAGCTGTGTGACCCTGGGCAAGTCACTTAACCCCAATTGCCTAAAATAAATAAATAAAAATCCTTATTTATTCCTTTAAACCTGTCAATGAGTAACATATCTTGGTTCTCGCCCCAGGATTTGAACATTCTAATTGTTTTTACGTGGGGTAGTACCAGCGGAACAAGTAACAATAATCAGCATAAACTACAAGAGCTCTGCCCGCCCCCCCCGCCCCCCTCCCTCCCCGCATTATAGAAATTATTACAATAGTTCTTGAACATCTTGCTACTACTGATTCTGGGTGGAAAACAAAATGTTCTTTAAAAAGTAACAGCTCTCTCACCCCCTCACCTGCCCAAATGAAAGAAACAGAACAGCTGAATCCTAGAGATTTCCTTTTGACTGATATATGGCCACACCAGAGATTAGATTTAGAGCTGGAAGGGACATTAAAAGCCACCAAATCTAACCCTCTCATTTGAGCTGAGGAAACTCAGGTTAAGGGAGGTGGTGACTTGCCCAGGGCCACACAACTAGAAGTGTCTCAGTCACAACTGGAATTCAGGTCTTCTGTGACTTTTTCTTCCCCATGCCCTGCTCATGTCTTTCACTTAAGAGCTTAAAGAAGGTGTGACTTTCTCTCGACTTCCTGGAGAAAATTTATTTAATTGTTCCAGTTAACTTAGTGAGAATGTATAGTTCTCCTTTTGAATTGTGAAAACCATTAATTCTAACTTACTACATTAATGTCAAGGGCTTAACAGTTACTCCTCCAGATGGACTGCAACCCACTTCTGTCTTGTAATCTTAGTTGCCTGAGACTCAGGGAGTTTAAGTGATTTGGATGGGGCCATAGTGTTTAAGAGGCTGGGTTGAAATGGAAGTTTTTACTGATTTCAAGGGCATCCCTCTAACCATGAGGCCCCACTGTTTCTAAGAGAACTCTCACTTAATGAATTTCTGTAGTGTTAAGAATAGCTAGAATGAGACAAAGTATACTTATTTTATTTGCTGTGCCTTGCTTTGTTGGGAGGTACCTTGAAGAGAGTGATTCACTTCTGGGCAACCACAGCAGTTGAGCTAGTTTTCCAAAAATCCAAGTTACAAACTGAATTAGCAAATCACTATGGATGTTTTAAGATAGTTCTGTACTTTTCTCTGTACAATATTATTGAGAGTTTATTGAAGGGTATAAGAAGTGTTCGCTGACGTCTAGAAATGATAAGTGTTCATGTAGCAGGCACACAAATTCTTTGACACCAGGTAAAAACAGCACCAAGTTTCATTGACCCCAAAATCTCACAGTGGGCAGGGACCTTCTGGGGCTTGCACTAGTTTGGTAATTCCTCATTTTTCACGTGCAGCAACTTTACTATAGGCAGTTCAGTCACTTGCTGACAAGCTTTTTTTTTTTTTTCTTTTTATTACACTTGTTGTAACGCCACAAGGAAAAATTAAGAACAATATCTGGAAGTTTTGAAGAGGCAGATTTAGGCTCCTTAGATGAGATGGTGGTGGAGTGATGAGACACCATGGCATGCTAGCCTCAAAGTCAGACAGATCTGGGTTCATATTTTGCCTCAGACACTACCAGCTGAGTGGTGTAAGTCACTTAACCTTTCTAAGCCTCAGTGTGCTTATCTGTAAAATGAGAATAATAATAGCATCGACCTCACAGCACTGAGGATCCAATAACTTAAATAAGATAACATGTGCTTTATAAACCTTAAGGTCAGCTGTTAGGTAAGGAAAAACTTCCTAACAATTAGAGCTCTCCCAAAGTGGGATGGGATCTCCAGATGGACTGAGGTCAACAGATGAGTGAAGCACCTACAGTGAAGGGGCTGCTTTGTTTTGACTTCCAACATCAGGTTCTCCACCAACATACGATGTAGGATGAGGGAAGGGTGATCACTTTGCTGATTGCCCTCCAGCTTCTGAGATGGATTGAAACAGGTCCAGGGGATTGCCGGCAGCAAGGGCCATCCAATTATTTGAGGCCAGCTGAAGACTTACTACACTTAGGGAGGATGTTGACTCAGACAAGGTCAGTCATAACCCCTCAGATGATAGTGTCACCCCAGTGGCTCCTCCCCATCCTCTTCTACTGAACAGGTTTACTATGGCAACATCACATCGGGAGGGTAAAACTAAAGTTTTTTTTTATGAGCATCACACAGAACAAGTTACACAATGTGCACGTGAAAAATGAGGAACCAGTTTATTGAACAGCTATGTAGAGGGAAAAAATAGTGAATTTTAGCTCAGGTTTTTACACACAAAACTGGAAAATCTATATTCCCACCCAACCCACCCCCACCCCCACCCCCAAATAGAACATATCTGTCCCTAGGCCAGTGCAAAGGTTTTAGTTATTCACATAATTTACATTAAACAGAATTCAGACAATTAAAAAAAGTTGCCTATATAGTCAAATCAAACACCTTCATATCTATCCTGAGGAAAGGTATCAATGGGTTCTTCTCTTTTTTAATCAAAAGGTGGTTATGCTGGAGGAATCTGACTTATTACCTTCTCAGCATTGGGATAATACTAACAAATTACTTTTCAATTCATTCGTAAAAGCATCTGAACTGATATAACATTACTTATCACCACTAAGTCATTTTAGACCTTAAAAGAAATATAATTCTGATGTATGTTTTCTGCGCCCAACTCCCACCTTAGTCAACTCTCAGTATTCCAATGAGAATGAATGCTTTCTAGTATTGGTTAACTGTGATTCCAAGCCTTTTAGAAATGGACATACCATTTATTTCTAATTTTCAGTGTTCTAAGATCAGACCTGCTGCAGATGTGGTGACTGAAAGTGATAAATAAAAGAGCTGTACCGTCTGGTATTGCATCAACAAGACAGGAATGCCATATGCAAATGAAAGCTAAAACTGCCCATTTCCAAGTGGAATTGGTACCTAAATCTGCTTACTGATAATGTGATATATCAAGCTTTGAAACTGTCTTCACTGATTGATTAGTATAGACCTAAATATACAAAAACCAGAATTTCAAATCAACACGATTTTCAGTCTCTGTGGTCAAGTCAACTACTTTAATAAGTTCCCATACCCAACAGACACACATTAATATTTTTAAAAGACTTGAAAGGACTTCTTCCATAATAGAACATATATCTTCATATATAGGCTTTTAAAAATACTTTAACAGAATATAATTATACTGTACAGAACTAGAATTTGAACAGAATATATTACACATTGCTAAAACGTTCATATAAATACTATACAGGCATGGAGTCACTCCATTAGAAGGGTTCACCAGTTAGACCATTAAAGATGGCTATGAGCATGCCCAAAGAAAATCTTAACAGGAGCAACACTAAAAATAATGCATATGATGCTTTGAAACAAGTAGTGGAATAGAGAAATATTTACGCTGGTTGTAGATTATGTTTTACCATTGAGACTAGTACTACTTTTGAAAGGCATGGTAGCATTTAAAAAAGTTAGGCAAGTACCCCATTGGTCAATCTTATGAAATCAATTTAACTTGCTGATAGAAACTTTTTAAGTGTCAATCTTGAAAGCTTTCTCACACATAGACATATATTAAAATAACTGTCAATATCTATATATTACATACTGATGGGTTCACTAGTGGCTGTGATATTTATTCAAAGCATGAGATGAAAAGATTTGACTTTATTTCCAGTTCCAGTTTAGAATGTAGGCAAAGCAATGGAGAAGATATTTGTCTTGTCTATCTTTTATGCCATATACTGTCCATCCGATTCCTGAATTTCAACTTAATCTGGCATATCTATATTTAATTTTGGAGGTGGGAGGACATATTTTCCAGGGCTCTGTGTAATAACTACTCGAGTCTTCTTTCGGAACATAGGAGCAATTTTTGGAGGTTCTGGGACTGGTGTTTCTTCGGTTTCCTCACTGTCTTCATGATGGAGATCATATGAAATATTTCCATATTCTCTTAGAAAAGGGAAAATTTCAAGCAGAAACTGACAGAAATCTTTACGAATTCCGAACCACCCTGAAAAGAAGAGTTCAATTGAAAAAAAAATTAGGTTTTAGGTCAAGTAAAATTCATTTTTTTGAATAAGTTTACAGTGATGCAGTCTAGTAAAAAGGTATTTATGCATTTTTTGGATTTTCTAATGGAAAATCAGAAAGACGAACACAAGGATAAATAAAGGATTCATTTTGTCTCAAGACATGTAGAAATGTCTTCTTTCTACACGTCCTTCTATTTACCTCTTTATTCCTTTAAAGTGAGGATAAGATGTATGTTTCAAATGAATCAAAGGGTCTCTCCCAACTGAATTTTTTAAACAAATTTTTTCCATTGATTTCCACAGTTAGTTGTGACACAATAGGTACCACCCAGTCCCTCAAATAAAGCCACCCCAGAGTACAGTCCCTGAAAAATTAAGCAGAAACACCTTGCAAAGTGGCTGAGATGGTTGGAGAGCATGCCACTTGCCACTTTGAGGGTTTCCTCATCTGTCAATTTCCCAAGTCACACAAAGGTTTCTGTAACATGTCTTATTTCACACCTGACCACACAAGGCATTTAAATATCCAAGACAGAAAATTAAAAACTCTTCCTGTCTATCAGGGGCTAAGCCTTTTTGGTGTTGTGAGATTCCTCAGGAAGTCTGATGAATCCTAGAGACCCCTTCTTGGAATCATGTATTTAAATGCATAAAATAAAATGGGTAGAATTACAAAGTAAACTAATTATATTGAAAGGTAGTTATCAAAACATTTAGGATAAAATAAACCAGTTCATGGACCCCAGGGTAAGAATCTCTGCCCTAAATAAACAACTTTAAACCTATAAAAAAAGATCCAGAGCTACTCTTTGGAGGCTCTGGAAAGTGAGGAAGAGTGATTCCTTGTCAGCTTAGCCTTGGCTCCTGGGTGGCCCAGGCAGTAGTGCTTCCTGGGATATGGGACTGTACACATCACCCCCTAGACAGATCTCAGCCATGTGCAATTTCCAGAAGGACATGCAAAAATGGAAGCTAAAAGTTTTGAGTTTTTTTTTAAATTTCTTGACTTAACAAAATATCCTGCTAATTCCTAACCACCAATGAGAACTTGCCTTGTCCTTCATATTTGAAATTCCCATTTTTTTCCCCTCACAAGGTTATAGCCCTTTTAAACAGGGATTGAGACAAGATTTGTGATTTCATCGGTAGAAGAACCTTCCAGATGAGGCTATTTACTCCACCAATGTAGATTGGCACCTTCCATGCAACTTGTAATCTTAATAGGGTTACTTAGCTCAGTGGTGTCAAACTCAAATAGAGGTCGGAGGTGGGGGGGGGGATGACGACGACAACTATGACACCAATCCCTACGTAAGAATTCCTGCAGGTGTTATATTATATTTTTACTTATTTCATTCAATATTTCCTAATGACATTTTGATCTGGTTCCACTGCCACACTTGGGAATGTTGTGGGCCACATGTTTGACACCTCTGGCCCTGTTCTATGTCCCTCAGCCAGTAAGTATTAAAGGTAGGACTTGAACCCAGGTCTTCTTGGCTTGAAGGCTGACTCTCTTTCCACTATGTCATGCTGCCTCTCACCTTTTTTTTAAATTTTTTTTTTATTTTTAGGCAATCAGGGTTAAATGACTTGCCTAGGGTCACACAGCTGGTAAGTGTCATGTGTTTGATCTGAGGCCGGATTTGAACTCGGGTCCTCCTGACTTTGGGGCCAGTGCTCCATCCACTGTGCTACCTAGATGCCCCTGCCTCTCACGTTTTTAAATGGCACAGTTGAAGTTGTCATATAAAACAGCCGATTGAAATTTAAAACCCAAGATATTTCCAAGATATTGACTTACAGTGATTGCCTCCTTTCTGTCCAAATGTTGTTGCCATTAGAGTTATTAAGGAAAGCCAAAGTGGAACAAATATAGGCACACATGAGAATGCATTATGGCCATCCAGTTTGTGAACTAGCAGAATCTAAAAGAAAAAGTTTTCAACATAATCTGTTCAGAAACATTGAAAAAAGGCAGAAGAAGTCAGAAGCGAGAGATCTGTTAAGTAATGTCAAGTCTAGCATTATTAACAGTGGTGGTGGGGAAGGGGACAATCGGAACCCTGTCTACCTTTAAGAAAAACAACCCTTTTTGATTTCTCTTATCTACCTCTCAGCTGCCTACACAAAGCTAAAAATACTGTTTGTCAGAGTTATTTTTGTATTTCAACAATCTATGACTTCATTAATGCACACATTCAGTTGATGATCATGAACATTGATGCAGATCCAAAGTCTCCATAACTTAGTATGTTGCCATGAGTTGCTACGGCCCAAAACCATTCATTATCTGCTGGCCAACCATTTGGTGATGAGGCTTTCTGAACTCAGCTAGGTTGGTCCTCATAATAGATGTACAAACTGGAGTTGGGTCAGTACTTAAAGCCTTTCTACATCAGCAGAAATTGCCAGAGCTTACACTCCACGCACACCATGGTTTGGCATGAGAGGACTTCAGTGGAAGTTGCCAAATTTTAAGTTTAAAATGCTAGCATTTTCTTTTTTCTTTTTTGTTTTTGTTTTTAGTGAGGCAATTGGGGTTAAGTGACTTGCCTAGAGTCACACAGCTAGGAAGTATTATGTGTCTGAGGCCAGATTTGAACTCAGGTCCTCCTGACTCCAAGGCTGGTGCTCTATCCACTGCGCCACCTAGCTGCCCCTAATGCTAGCATTTTCCGCAGAAATATATCCCTCTTGTTCTCGTAAGTCCATAATGCCTTTGCCATTAAGGCAAGAAAAAAGAACAACACTTTCCCATTTTTATAGGCTGCCATCAGAAAACAACATCTGACTTTCTGGATCACAACAGATCCCTAAGAAACACCAGCACAGTGAGGAAGGTGAGGAATGACTACCTCAAATGTAAGCAGTGGAACAACAATCGTCATCCAGCTGATGGCCATCGTTATGTGTGTTCTCCTTTGTTCGGCAATCACATCCATTGAGCGTAAGAACAAGACGGACCAAACGATGTAATACAGCACAACCAGGCACAAGAAGGACATCAAAATCCACAGAGGAACACAAACAACCTGGAGAAAAAGGAAGAAAAGACCTCTTTACTGATTAAGGATTTTTTGGTAGGCCTTGGGAAAAGCTTATGTCTCAAGTTATTATTAGCAGGGTTAAAAAAATGATAATGTGCACTTATATCATAGCGTTCTCACACAACATCATTATTAAAACCTTGTCAGGCAGGCAGATGACCCCCTGAGCATAAATAACTAGACTTCATCCCGATTTAATTCTAACGTGCTCTTTTCCAAGCAATATTCCTATAGGCCTTATGTTCTTCCGCCACTGTGCGTGAAACTATTCTTCAGAACCTTTGACTGTTGCGTGGGTTCTCAACCTGGGGTCTAGGAACTTTTAAAAATGCTCTGATATTGGTATTTCGATATAATTGGTACTTTTGTAATCCTAGGTGTATTTTCCTTCATGCATCGAAAAACATTATTGTGTCCATAGCACAAAAAACGATTAAAAACCCTTCTACATTAAACGAACTTTCTGAGAGGACACTGAAACGGATGTATTCCCCCTCATGATGAATTCAGGATGAGGTGAGTCTGTCTTTAGACTGTGCTAAAAGTACCTTGTTAACAAATGCTTAGCCCAGCCCCTGGCATGAAGAGAGAGTGCCACAGCAGGGGTCCAGTATGGGACTCGCATTTGCCCTCAATGACTTGTCCTCTACTCTTGAGAGTTAATTTTATTGCATAGTTTTGGCACTGCCTTCTCTAGATAATTTGTTAATAGATGCCCTTATTGATTCTTGTGTGGAATTTTTTAAAATTAAGTTATTTTGATCTATCAACAATCACTTCCATATGCTTTTTGAGTTTAAAATTTTTCTCCCCCTTCCTCCTCACCACCCTCCCCAAGACGGCGCACAA